TTCAAAAAAATCCATCACATCATGACCTCAACCCATGACTTTCCGGCTTGTAGCATAGTGCCTCAACCAACTAGGTGCCCCATACCTAACATATATGAATTCAAAATAAAGGAACACATTAAATGCCTTTTTAATGGAATTATAAAGGGTCAATTTAAAATTTCAAATGAGTTAAATTCATCGATCATTTAGCAAATTACAGAATGTCTTGTCTCAACAACAACAACAACAACAACAACAACAACAACAACAACAATGATGATAATGATGTCACCACAACCATTACAAGCTTAATAACAGATAAAAATATGCAATTTCTATTTAATTTCAGGGCACTTCTTTCACTCTGTCATGAGGTTTGTGTGACTTTCTAGCTGAACGTGAATTCTGAAAACAGCAACATAATAAGTGTATATAGACAAAGCAAGCAAACACATATTTTGCATTATATAAACGCCATGAAAAACGTTATCCTATCACACTCATCTCTCTGTTCAAAATATTCAACTGTAACATGTGACATTACATATGTCACTTTGTTTCAAATAGCAAATGGTTTATAAAAAAACATCTAACTTGAAATTCTTAATTGTGTTGTATATTACTTCTACTCTACTTACTAATTAGTGTGGCAATGTTAAATACAAAAAGTGTTCATTTTATATTAAGATGAACAAACATCCTCATATGTGTTTTGCAAATAAAACAAGGAAGAGATGTTTACCAACTAAATTCACTACAAAACACTTGTGCATCTTTCTAAGCTTTTATACAAAATCAAATTTCTAGCTCAGAAACAGGCAGTAATCAAAATTGTAGGTTTCAAGTTCTCTGTAGTGCATTAATAAACAGATGTCTCCAATGACACACTACTAGATGCTGAATGACTTTTGAAAACATTATTTATGCATTTTCTACTAACATTATTTCCAAACATGGTTACCCCTTGTCCATACAGCCACATCACATCTCTGAGAAGTTTTTAAATTCATACTTATATTGGTTTCCACTTTGTCTTGTCATCAAGATATGGCAGACAAATGCTCTTCTGTGGTCATTCTTGGACCAAAGGATGCATTTTATTTATCAGTATACACCAAAAAAGATTTCAAAATAACACTTTCTGTTGGTAATGATTGAACAGCTGGAACATGCTATCATTAAAATATGGCTGCAAATGCAGCAAACAGGGTGCCTTTTCAAGAAGCCTTCATGGTATTAACATAGAAACAATAAAAATATATACAAAGTGATAATATACATTTTACTCATCAGGTATGATTCCTGCATCAGATGATAAAAAGGTAGAAATAAGCCTCACTTTTATTTACAGCAAATTTATAGATCATTAAAATCTGAACTGTTTTGTTAAGTAACAGTTCTAGAGAAACTTAGTGTAAATGGTCTTATTCTTGTTATACTAGGTGGTTCAAATATGACCAGGACTGATTTTTTTGTAAACAAGCCGCACTGCGCAGCAGCTGTGCAACCTTGAGAGAGTGAAGCCACAACCTCCACCCTCCCTCCTGTTCAGTCCTGTCTGGAAGTTGCTAGAGTGATGAGTGAACAGAACGTACCGCGGAGCGTGGAACAACGCATTGTGATCAAATTCCTAGTTGGAGAAAACGTCCCGTCCGCTGAAATTCACCACAGACTCCAATAACAGTATGAGGAAGGGTGTCTCTCACAGACCCGTGTGATTGAGGGGTTTAAGTGCTTCAGAGAGGGCAGAGCGCGTGTGGAGAATGAACCGCATGATCGTCGGCCGCGAACGTCCGTCACCAAGCCAAACATTGATCGTGCAGACGCACTTATTCGTGAGAATAGGCGCATCACTATCAAGGAACTTGGAGCAGTGCTGTCCATCAGTGTTGGTAGTGTAGAAGACATCATGAAATATCACCTGCACTATCGCAAGGTAAATGCATGGTGGGTACCACGCACTTTGACAGATGTGAACAAAATGGTGCGCATGCAAGTTGCCAGTCGTCTCCTACAGCAGTTTGAAGATGAAGGTGACGCATTTTTGAAGTCTATAGTGACCACCGATGAAACGTGGGTGCACTACTTCATTCCCAAGTCCCAGCAATCATCACACGAGTGGCGGCATACTAGTTCTCCCAACCCCAAGAGAGTGCGGAGGAGCCGTTCGGCAGGAAAAGTGATGGCAACATTCTTCTGGGACTGGCACGGGGTTGTCCATGTAGACTTCTGACAGATGCCAGAACAGTCAATGCAGCTTATTACTCAGACCTCCTGGCAACAGACGTGAAGGAAAAGATCCGATCCAAGCGGAAGAGAGGTGGAAAGCGGATAGCCTTCCTTCAAGATAATGCATGCCCCCATACGGCCAAAACAACAATGGAAACCCTCCGGAAATTGAAATGGAACCTTCTGACACATCAGCCATACAGTCCCGATTTGGCACCAAGTGATTTCTAGCTGTTTGGAAGGCTCAAATCAGACTTGCAAAGCATGCGGTTTGTGGACAATGACGCCGTCATCCAGAATGTTCGGGAGTGGATACGCTGCCAACCACAAAACTTTTTTGAAAAGGGCATCAAGATGCTTCCAGAATGTTGGAAAAAATGTGTTGACTCCGGAGGGGAGTACGTCGAAGACTGACATGTGCAAGTAAGTGTTTGGCAATTTTGGTTTAAAAAAAAAATCAGTCCCAGTCATATTTGAACCACCTTGTACTTATAAAACTGCAAATTCTCTATACAGATTTAAATCACCATACTATGTTTTATTGTTACAGAAGAATAAATATATATATTTCTGATTATCCATGCCCAGATTAAATTATTTGTGGTTTATTGTGGATTCTTTATTAGGTGTGTTTGTAAACCTGTAGAGTGCCTACTGAGTTCAGTCAGTCTGTCCATCCATCTGCATGGATGAAACAAGAATGTGTGAGGTTTTCATTAAATCTGATATTGGAAAATTTCATGAAAACCTGTTAGTCATTTCCATTATGATCACTCAGTTTTAACAACCACTTCAAATGAAGAAAAACATGTATATCTGCACATATCTTGAGCCTAACTCCTGAGTATCTATCAGAGTAAAATTGTTCTGAATGGAAATTTTAGTGAAAAATGAAGATCACATTTTATCTTCAACACATGTGTACCTGTAAGCTGGGCATTTTAGATACAATTACACAAATTGATGCTATGTGTAAATTTCTGAATATCTATACTAAAAATTCACTACAGTCTCTGACCTTGGGTTATCTGTATTTGCCAATTACTGGTGAATCCTTCAGCCTTCAGTAACATGGATAATTCAAAGTATACTGCACATAATACTGGTTAAAATGTAATTCTTGAGACCAAGCACAGTACAGAACTTAGCAATGAATCTATTATACTGTAACATACCTACCACATGACTTGTCTTTTATCACAATATCATTTGCATTTTAGACTGTTGGGTTATGACTATCATGGTAGGAAATAAAATATCATCATACTATAACTTCAACTCACCAACTTCCATAAAAAAAAAACAGGACACTTTCATTCATTACATTATTCATCTATTTTGTTAAAATGTATGTTCTTATTACTACTGTACCGGTCAGTATAAGTAGCAAAGATGACAGCACCTCTGTAAATGAACATGCACAAGATATGCATTTGGCTATATATCTGAGACAGCTGTTAGTTCCCTTACGTCTGCTGCCTAAGTGGTCATAAAAACGCAAGAATGTTTCTGAAAAGGTTTTATCACTGAACACATTCTGCATTCACATGGAAAATGGCAGCATCAGTGCCAAGATAACTGTGAAACAGCTGCATCTCATTTCTAGAGGAACCAAATTCCTCTACTCTTAACTCTCTATGGAGTTCACAGTGGTAAATGGCTACATGTACACTTCTAAGGGGCTATTCTTTGCATTCACATTCACGTATGTAGGACCAACAGAAAATCATCACTTGTGTAATACACAACATACTGGAAGACACTACCTGGAGGACAGTGGACCTTAACAAATAACTTAATGTTGCCTCCAACATTATGACCCTCTTCTTGGGACCTACTGCATCATTTTTATTCACGGCAGTAAAAAATATTCAAGGCGGTTTATAATTCAGGCTACTTTCTACTGGACCATACTGGGTTACTGTACCTACAAAAATGTGTACATTAACAGGATAACGGAAAGCAAATCACATTCCTTTCCTATGAATTAAAGTGAGCCACTCTCTCTCTCGCTGGGTATGAACCTGGTGATTCTTATACTTATAACTTGGCTTTCAAGATCATAAGAACTGCTGGAAAAGCTCATACAGCAACATAAAAATATTTTTAACATATAAAACAAGAAAGCACTTGTATAAAAAGTATCAATAAATACTCTGAAACGCTAGTTGTTATATACCACACATGCAACTGGATTTTCAGATTCATATATGTACAGAAGAGACACAGAAAAAAAATGAATGTAAACAGCCAAATCTTACTGCAACAACAGTTATAAAATAAATCCCATATTCAGCAAATTAAAACATTTAAATCACACAAGTTTGTCAGACATCTTACTCAAAATGTGAGCATAGTAGAACTATGCATTTTTAGCTTCTTACAGCAACAGCTTTGCCGATAAAGAAAATCATCTACGGGCATTCAACTAAAACCTCAACATTTTTAGTTTGTTAATCTCAATTGTTTGGATTCAAGTCAGCCCATACATATCAATATAAAAAAGCCATAGCAACATACTAAGATTAATAACAAGAAATATTTTATAAAGAAATGTGTACAGTGGATCCTTTTTCATGTTCCTCAGTTTAAGGTCTTCCCTCACTAAATATTCAAATTTGGTCACCCAAATCAAAAGTCTCAGTGCTGATTTGTCTCCATTTATACATATATTTTTTAATTTAGTGTTCAAATCCACTGTTCCCCAAAGAAACGTTAAATGTGGTTTTCACTGTATATGAACACATCCCACATCAGTTTACCACTGAGAATAAGGGAAAATATCTTACCTGTTTGAGAATTTCCATTTCCACCACCCCCAGGACTTCCAGTATCAATGAGAGTAGCCACAGCAGGACTGGTACTTGTGCTACCACTATTTGCATTACTACTTGTGTTGGTGCCTTCATCTGCTGTCCTCTTGAAAAAGTTGTGCTGAAGTGCATAATAAGGGGTAACTCGAGTCTTGGGATCAAAGTCCAACATCCGAAGAATCAGATCCTTGAACTTGAGGTAGTCTGAGACAGCATGACCTGGCTCACCTAGCCGTCGCCCACCCGGGCCCCCACTTTCCACACCTAATATGTCATGAAGTCTCCGAGTACCCGGTAACTTGTACTTCTTCCCATCCTTGGCTTTCTTCAACACATAAGAACCATCACCTGGCAGCTTGTCAAAGTACTTTCGGGCTTTGTGTGCCTGGTCAAGAATGTGCTTCGGTGGCATGCCCAACACCTCCACTATCTTGTTCATCTGGTCCACCTACATCAATAAAGAAAACTATTCATCTAACATCTAATACAATGGTCACAGTTGTTTATAAATATGGATTCATCTATGTTTTACAGTGAAAGGTTCCATTGGCTTGCTATTTAAATGTAGAGAAGGCTTAACTAGAACATTTTGGGTGCCTATCTTAGACAAAGGGGATATATATATATAACAGTGTAAATGGAAACTGAATACAACTTTTTGTCTTTAAGTCAGGAGAGGAGTATCATCCTACGATTCAGTAACACACATACCCTTACAGGAGCCCTCCAAGAAGAAATGGTTCACAAACCATAAAAAAACTGACTCCACTGAGAAGACTCTCTTGAGAACCTAACCGTCATTTCGCTGGTCTATAAACCCATCTACTTAACCGCAAGATTTATTACTGTATTCACAAGAGTCTGCCACTGGTCCCCATCCTCAGCGGAATGAATCTAGTCCACATCCTTCCAACCTATTTCTACAAGATTAATTTTAATATCATTCTCCCACTTTAGGCAAATATCTTCCAAAAAGCCACTTCCCTGTCTTCTGGCCGAAATTCTGTATGCATTTCTGATCTCTCTTATTCATCCTACATGCTCTAAACATAAAAGCCTCCTTTATTTGATCATCCTAACAATGTTGGTGAAGAGCACAAACTACAAGCTCCTCATAATATAATTTTCTTCAGCTTCCTGCCAGTTCTCTTCTATGGAATCAAAATATTCTCCTCAGTATCTCCCTCTCATACAACCTTGCTCTATGTTCTTCCAATAATGTGAGAAACCTATTTTCACACTCATATAAAAGTACCAGGAACACCAGTTTCTACTAATCTTTACATTTTTATACACCAGACAGAAAAATAAAAGTTTCTAATGACAGAACAAATTTCCCTAACTTACTTTGCTCCAATTTCTTTGTGACTGTAATATGAATCTGTTAATGTCATCTTAATATTTTAACTTTGCAACATTTTCAAGTAATACCTTAGCTATCTTTATAGAGCAACCTCCCCATTAGCTGGCATATACGGGGAAATGGGTAGTGCTGGTTGCACAAATCCACCAAGAAAACTACTACATAAGTCAAAACAACATTTTTCCACTTCATTTCTTGTGAGATTCTTCCTACATGACCCAGCAGACTGATGGGTAAACGATTTTGGTTACACATAATGTAATGTGGTAAGAAATACAATTAACCTCTACTATATCAGCACTCCTGTGAGGGAAGACGATAGATAGCACTGCTAGTGGCATCTGGGATAACTACAGCATGGCAGGCAAACATGTACATCATTTTTTCTTCCAAATTTTCTTTAATTTTTTCTGGCCAAATGAGAATGTTGGATGGTGGGACACTTGATACCAGGGAGTTCACTGCATTGTGATTCTATCTATTGTGGGATGTCAATGTTCCTGAGACAACCACTTCAAACTACAACCACAAATGTCTGTTGCATTTAAAACACGTATTACAGACGAGCCAGGAGCATGTCGGAAGAGTACCGGTGGCGATTCTTTTCACAGCAGCCAGTTCGGCCTGACAGTTACAGTGAAAATTGCAGGCCCTGAGAAGAGCCGTTTGTTCAACCACGTCTTCTTTGTAGCATCCCGGGTCTTCTTTACAGCCACTTGGTGGTTACGAGCCGGCGGGATAGCAGCGAATCTGGCTGGCTAGTCCAGGTGTTCTTTATGGCCGCTCAGCAGTTACAAACCGGCAGGATAGCGGTGAGTCTGGCTGGATAGGCACTACTCATATGGTGTGTGCAGTGGTAAGAGTCGGCTGTCTTGGCGCTGTTTACTGGAGAGCTGGAACTGTGTTGTTGCTTGCACTTGCAGTGAAGCATGTGACTGATGCAAGACTGACTATAGCCAGATGGAGACCCATATTTTTATAACATCACTGCTGGGCACAGCTGGCGATTATGAGCGCTGACTGGACAGCGCTTGTGTTGGTCTCCAGAGGGCCAAAATGGCAAGTAATCTATAAATATTGGTTCGTCCTGTTATGAGGTGGGAGTTGTCTGTTGTCAGACTTGTGAAGTTGTGTGTCAGCATGTGGGAGGTTACCACACTGTCTTGCATACATAAAGTTTTCTTTAAGGGTTCTTTTAAAGTGGCTTACAAGCACCTTCCTTCATGGCATTTATGTTCCTCCCCAATATAATAACGCCACTGACAGAAACCAGAAGCTAATATGTCCCATTCAATTTCAATTCCTCCTGGCTTATCACGGCATTCTACAGCAAAACTGAGATGAAATGTGAGATCTGAGATTCACACAGTAGTAGCTATGAAAAGTGCTATATTCTGGGATGTTATGGTGTGCCTGGTAGAAGTTTACCCATCTTCAAAGTCAAAGACGTAGCTAAGCAAGCAACAAGCACAATGATAACAAGTCATTTCCTTTTTTGAAAACATTCTGAACAGGAAATGCATCAGACAAATGTTTATCTCTACAGGCTTGTCCATAGATTCATTCAAATGCATTTCAATTGACCTAAGAAGTTTCATGGGTATACTGAATTTAAATGACAACGATGTATAATATTTGCCTCATAACTAGGGACCAGATTTTAATGCAAATGCATATTTCTTTCTTGCAACCAGAAAGTATGCTCCTTTGGATATATGTATGAATTACTTCATTTCTTAAATTTTGTACATAGTTTGATGGTGCATTGTTTTATGAATAAGCATCATATTTTCGAAGATCTCTATTTATACTGCATATTTCCTTTTTAAAATGTTTATCATATTTATATTTTAATTTTATGTTCAAACTTTCAATAATGGTCGTGTGTATACAATTTCTCTTTCCCGTATTAGACTGCGAGAATTAATACTCCTAGAAGAGATTGTGTGATTGTTGGTCCATTATTTCCTAGTAAGGTTAATAAAAGGTGCCCTGCAATTATGTTTGCTGTTAGTCGGACGGCTAGTGTTCCGACTCAACATTTCGTCATGATTCATGTTTCTGATGCAATACCCAGGACGGGACTCCCCCGATCCCTCTACTCATAACTTGCCTCATCCGCGTACCATCAAAGTGGCCGTGAAGAGATCAGTCGGAAGCGTTCGCATGTAGCCGCTATCAACGTAATACTATTCAGCTGATAAGGGACTTCACTTACTTTTTTCCGAAGTCTCCATGAGGTTCGTTACGCTTCTTCATTTGAAGCTGGGGGCCATTCACATTAGTGGTGACNCTAGAAGAGATTGTGTGATTGTTGGTCCATTATTTCCTAGTAAGGTTAATAAAAGGTGCCCTGCAATTATGTTTGCTGTTAGTCGGACGGCTAGTGTTCCGACTCAACATTTCGTCATGATTCATGTTTCTGATGCAATACCCAGGACGGGACTCCCCCGATCCCTCTACTCATAACTTGCCTCATCCGCGTACCATCAAAGTGGCCGTGAAGAGATCAGTCGGAAGCGTTCGCATGTAGCCGCTATCAACGTAATACTATTCAGCTGATAAGGGACTTCACTTACTTTTTTCCGAAGTCTCCATGAGGTTCGTTACGCTTCTTCATTTGAAGCTGGGGGCCATTCACATTAGTGGTGACTAGTCTGTAGTTAAGTTTGTTTAGTGTTCTGTAGTCATGCCGAAAGTGAAAGTAAGTCAGAAAACTAAATTAGAGCTGTATCAGCGGGAGTTCGAAGGAGAGATGATAAGTACGGATAACGAAATTCTTTATTGCCGAGCGTGTGAGAAAACAGTTGGTTGTGAAAAACGCTTTCAGGTGCTTCAGCATTTGAACACTAATATACACAAAGAGAATATTATAATTAACTCCACGAAAAGTGCTCCTGTTCAAAAATTGCTTAGTGAATTCTCTAATAATAGTTTTTCAGTTTTCCTTTGATTTATGCGAAGCCTTTATAGCGGCAGATATTCCGCTGTGGAAACTGGCCAATCCTACTCTGAGAAACTTCACAGAGAAGTACACACATTGCAAAGTGCCGGATGAATCTACTGTGCGCAAAAATTACATGAAGCGGTGTTACAATCTTACAATTGAAAGCATTAGAGATAAGATTCAAGATAATTTTGTGTGGTTATGAATCGACGAAACACAAGATTGTGAGGGACGGTTTATTGCAAATTGTATAGTTGGATCCCTTAATAAGAATGAACAATCTACCACATATCTTCTTGCGAAAGAGCAATTTGAAACCACAAATAGCTCCGCAGTTTCCAAAACTTTTATCAATTCCATGACTTTACTATGGCCGAATGGCATTCAGTATGAGCACGTATTCCTCTTTGTGGCTCATGCCGCAAGTTATAAGATGGAAGTCGGGACTGCTCTTGAAGTTATATTTCCAAATATGACACATTTGACTTGCCTTGCTCATGGGTTGCACCGTGTTGCAGAAACAATTCGTGCAAATTTTCCGCTTGTTGATAAGTTGGTGTCTTCTGTGAAGAAGGTATTTGTTAAAGCACCACACAGAAAAGACGCCTTTAAAGCAGTAGCACCGAGCGTTCCACTTCCGCCAGAACCAATTTTAACGCGCTGGGGAACATGGCTGTGTGCAGCAAGTTATTATACCGAATATTTAGAAACGGTTAGGAATGTTGTGAATACATTTGTTCCCAAAAGTGCAGCATCAATTCAAATTGCCCAAGATGTACTAAAAAACGCCGAACTAGAAACGAATCTTTCCTATATATCTGCTCACTTCTCTCATCTTCCATCCGCCATTTCCTCACTGGAGGCAAGCAATAGCAATACTACTTTGTGTCAGTCGTTAAGTGTTTTTAAAACCACTGTTTCGAAATCGAATTCGGTTCCTGGAAGAGTTGGTGAAGTAGTAAAGGAAAAAGTACACAGCATTCTTTAAAAAAATCCAGGATATAAACAAATTTGTGAAATTGAAGAAATTTTAGCCAGTAAACGAACTGAACTGCCAAGTAAAATATCACTAACAGTGGAGCAAACAGCAGCTTTTGTACATGCGCCCCAAGTTCCTGTGAGGTGGAAAGAAGTTTTT